TATACAAAATATAATAAGTAATTGAACTTCTCAAAATAATTTAAATCTCCAGATAACAAATATTTTTATATTATTACTGCGATTATAGTACGCACCGAAAAGGCAACGCTGAAGCTCAACCGGAATCGTCCGCTAAATTTCCTTATCGATCGTCCGCCGGTCACTGACCGCCCATACAAAAAGCGAATCGTCGTCGATACGACCGCTATAAGCAGATACAAATTCGCGTGGGCGTTTCCATAGGCGGAAGCACAGCTCGAACACCTTGTAACCAATAATAGAACTCGTTAAGACAATCGTAGAAGAGTCGATCGATAACCAAGTTACACCTCTTGTTTCTACAACTTTCGTTTTGAAAAAGACGCACCGTTAATGTTCGGTGGCTATGTAGAAGCAGTGATTGCGTGTAAATGTGTTGTATATATCAATACGATGACACCAGACAATCGTATTTTATATCTTTGTAAACACTAAGAGCCGCATAAGATTTACGTCTTTTGACATTTCGCTCTATTAATCTTATTTGTCTCTTTGTGAATACAAATAATTTATTTCTCAGTCATTACAGGGTCTTTCACGCGAAATCGAGTGTTGTTGTAGATCTTGGTCATATATCAACAAATCTCGAAATTGCAGAAAATATTGTAACTTTCTCTCGAACAATTTCTTTATAACGTTACAAATACGATAATAATTAACCCGAGAAAGATAACCTACGTCGCAGAGGCGCCTGCGAAGACTGTTGATTTTTGTTAATTTTTCATAGAGGTCTAGTGATTTAAGTTTAAAATTACTTAAAATATAAAAAAATATAATATAAATGCATTTTATTTTTACAATAATGCCAAACCTTTAAAATGACTAGATTAACTTAAATAAATATCCATTGTTAGTATAAAATTGACGCCTTAGAATAGCATGCGCCTCTGAAGCGTATGGTTATCTTTTACGCACGTTGTCATATGGTTATCTTTCTAGGGTTAATAAGTAAACGCGACGAACAACCGCGAGATAATATATTTGGGTAAAAGTAAGCCGAGAGACAATGTAGCACGGCGCGCAGGAACCAAATAGCAGGGAACAACGTCCACCCGGTATATTTAGCGGCCACGCACCTGTCGAGGACCGCGGCATTGTCGCGCGGGCGTATTCGCATCGTCGACGCGAACTTCGGAAACCGTGCCAAGGTATTTAGAATACGGTGAACATACTTGCAGCTCGCAGCAGAGCCGCGTCACCACCAGGCGAATCCATGTTTCCTCGGCGCAACGAACTCTCACCGAATCGGTCTCGTGCCAGTCAACTTCCCGGAAACGTTCAACCGTCGATCTCTTTGCTTTCTCGATCGACATTGCGCCAGAACGTTTATCGATTCTTTATATCGCCTTATCCGAACGATGAAGAAACTACAAGTATCTCCCTTGTCGATTGGCAAATCGATGCAAATGTGCAAACCTGTGTCTTGATGGAACAGAATTCTGCTGCGAGCTAATCGATAGCTCAAAGAAAAAAGTGTTAGAGCCAACGTCGACCCTGATGTTAGCAACGAAGCATGTGACTCATGTTGAAGCTTCTTTATATTCGATCTCGAGACGGTGTTCGGGCAATGGAAAAAGAATGTTAGAAGAGCATGATACATT